CTTTCCCCTCCCAGCTGCGCAAGCCCCAGCCAGTGGCAGGCAGCTGCACCGATGCCCAGTAGGCCAGGATTGAGGGATCGGGGAGGTGGGGGGTTGGGAGAATTGGCCAGGCCCCCTCATTAGAAACTGCTGATGAGGCTGTTCCAGGCTGTGTGGGAAATGGCTGAGAGATCAAAGCTGCCTAGCATGATTCAGAACCCAATTAGTGCTGTTAAAAGAGGGAACCCCAGTGCCAAGGCAGTCAGCTGCTATGTGAAGCCAGGCAGAGGGCCCCACACACGCACGACCGACTGTGGGAGCTCGGTCCCTGCTCCACCACCACCGATTGTCTGGAAGAGGGGGCTGGTTACACAGGCCAAAGCCAAAAAAAAAAAAAAAAAAAGAGGCTGGCTGGGGCCATGCCCAAGCATCCGGCCAGACTAATTGCTCTCAGATACCCGTGTTTCGCTGGGTGCTGCACTAGATTAGCTGGGGCAAAGCAGGAGATAGAGCGAAGCCCGTGACACTGAACAGCCCCCAGCCCTCCACTTCTGACAGGGCCTGCCTGGCAAAAAGCAAACACTTGCCCACCACCCAAGGATAGGGTCAGAGCAAAGGGGTGAACCCCATCTAGCAGGCCCCCCACCAGCCAGCACCAAGGCAGAAGCAACAGTGCAAAAAGCCAACATAAAGCAGCTCTCAAACCCCTTTGGGCCATCTCTGCCACCCTATGGCCTAGGCAGGGAGTGAGGGGCAGATGTTGGGACCTAAAGAAATGTGGTCTCTTTTCTTCCCTCCGACAGGAGCCAACAGGTCAGCAAGGTGAATCGCAGCCAGGCTGCTGCAGGCTGGCATAGCTCCTGTTGTCTGCTTCAAGTGACCTGCAGCACAGGTTAGCAAGCAACAGGAGAGTGACAGGCTGGTCACCTGCACCTCAGGGGATGGAGAGAAACCAGACAGTCGCATTTTACCTAGTGTAGGCGTGATGCCTCCTCCACACAAGTAGCCTGTTTTTCAAAGCACCTGCTTCCCCTTGTTGACTCTGGAGGCAGCTGTAACTGCTAAGCTGAGAGCTGTAGGTCTGATCTCCCAAAGGTGCCAAGATCAAGTGTAACAGCTTACCATCTCCTGAGTGGATCACGGCCTTTGCTTGGAAGGGTTGGCGGGGGAGGAAATCTCTGCTAACACTAACCGTGTTTTGAGGCATCTGATCCATGCACCACCACTTCCATGAGCACAACTCAGACTGAGACACTGTGCAGGCACCATCCCATCTTTACAATCTGGAACATGACCATGTGATAAAGACATCTCACTTGGCATCTCTGCTCCTTGAAGCCAAAGGGCAGGCCTGGGGAACAGAGCAGCTGACTTCCATGACAAATCCTTATTCCCTCATAGTCCTGCAGGGGCCAGAAGCAGCAGGGGAAGAACAGAACAAAGCTGATTTTGGATTGTGTAGCAACACACCTTGTGTCAAAGCCCAGCCACTTTCAGCAGTGGGACAGGATACAGTGATTTTCTGGACCCTGGGCAGGAAAAAAGGGAAACCTTCCAACTTGCCAGAACAGCAAGACAGCTCAAGGGGCTGGGCAGAGGCTGCTCTTCTGCCACCACTGCAGAGGCTGAGCCTTATTCCAGTAGCCAGCATCTCTGCAAGTCCGCTAAGATCTTGGCCCCAATATAGACGGTAGCTGCCCACACTGCAGAAACAACCATCTCTCCCAAGGTCTCCAGCGACAGCACAAGGCAACACAGCTCAAGGCTTCCATCTGTTCTCAATCCTGCTTGGAGCCTGGCTCCTATTAGCTGGTGGCGCATCTTCACTACCCGTCTTTTAACCCGTTGATCACCAGCACTTTGTGTAATTGGCAAGACGGGCATAAATTGCAAAGGGCCGAGTATTATCCCAGGGGTTCCCCCAGGTCAACTGTATGGGCAGGGAGTATGACAAAATGGGGAACCAGGCCTCTCCTGCCTGGGACAAGTCAAGTCACTTCACATCTCCTGGCCTGGGAGTGCAGATGGGATTCAAGGGCCCAGGGAGGTCTCTTCCAGACTTATGCTCCTTTCCTCATCTGCAAAACAGCTTTAACAGCAGTCTTCTTCATACATGTCTGACAGAAGCTAATGGGCAAAGGCAGAGCAATGCAAGCTGTACACCCAGGGCCCTAAATGGACTTGATCGCCAAGGGGTAGGAGTACAAGTTCCCCTTTGCAAATTACAATCCCAGATCCCCCGACAGGGGCCAGCAACCCTCAGCCAAGCCTGAGGCCTGAACATCCCCCTCCACTATAAGCAGCAAGGGGCCCCAAGCAGTTCACAGGACAAGCTGCACCATCTTTGCAATACATTTAGAATCAGGATACCCCAGGGGGCAGGGGTGGGGCTCCAGACAGCCTTGGCGTGGGTCTCACCTTCAGACACTCAACTCCTGGCTTCCCCCCTCCCCTTGCTGCTTCTTTGGAGATCTGCCTAAGCCAAATCTGCCTAGACCATCAGGGAAGCAGCAATTTTAGGTCAAAGCCTGCATTATTTACCATGACCTATGGAAAAAACTTAGTAGTGTGTTCTTTCAGACAGTTTAGAGATGACACTGTTCATGTGCAGCTGGCTGCTGGGCTCTGCATGGTGATAAGACCCACAATTTGTTTCTTCCTTTTAGATTTCCTATTTATTCAAATAGTAAAGAGCAGCTTCCCACTACTGTAAATACAGCTGGAGCCTGCCACCGCAGTGGAGTTTAAGGAGGGTATTACTGCATCCTTGTTCTGCAAAACAGGTGCAAACACCCTGCTGTAGGATTAGGAGCCCAATCAAGGACAGCTCTAACTTCAGAGATGAGGGACAAAGATGGGGAAATTTCTTAACAGACAGCACAGAACATGTCTCAAAGACTAGCCACGACATGACACTGCTTCCACACTTGTGAAGGAGACTGACTGAAAACATGACAGTTCTTTGTGCAAGGAGGAAGTCATTTCCAAATCAAAAAAGGCTTTTTATTCTAAAACAAGGAGTGCCCCAGCTTCCCCAGCTTTGCACATGTATCACATCTTCCTCAAAACTTTGCAAACTTTCTGGGAGGGCAGCAGAGCCTGTCTGCGTTACAAGGCCGCCCCCTGCTGCCGAGAGGGAAACGCAAGTCATCAGACTGGAACTGGGTCACTGGCTCCTCATGGGTCATAAAAGGACGAGTAGAACCACATTCAAAATCTTAAGTTGAGTCTGATCAAGGATCTGCAATTTGAGGCATAGATGTAGGTGGGGAGGTACTGGCGGGGCAGACTATACATTCAATTTGAGAGCACAGGGATGAGAAGAAACCACTGCTCTTGCAGAGAGCTTAGTGCAACTCTCTGTCACACTATGAACAAGTTAGAAACACACATGTCCACAGCTCACAAAACTGGAGATACACATGGCCCTCAGGGTTTCATACAAAGTCCTGATTGAGCCCCAGAGACATTGAGCTTTACTAAGAGTGACATCTGCTACGCGGAACTAGCCAGACTTCAAAAGGAGCCTGGGGTTGGGAATGAAGCGCCTGCCATCTCATTTCCTCCTGCAGCCTCTTGCGTTGTTAATGGTTTCGTTTCTATGAACAGGCTCTGGCTGTCTGAATGACACCATCCTCCCCCTTTGATCTCTGGCTGCTCAGCAAAGGCAACGTGATGGGCCCTAACACACGTGCTGCTTCTGGGGGGAAGGAACATCAAAGTCAAAAAAAATATCCTGGATACAGAAAAGAGATGGAGCCACGCACAAGGCTCCAGAGGGGTCCTGGAGCCAGTTTCCAAATCCATTTTCTGATTCACTAGGAACAGCGCTGCGTTTCTGCTCACCTGGGACATCATCCATCCCAGCCAGTGGCACATTTAAAATCATGGGTGCAGCTTTATGACAAGATGCTGCAGTCACATTAATCTATTAAAAGACTCCTCTGTCACAGTCCTGGGCAGCTTCAGCAAAAGTCTTGACTGGGGATAACGGCACTTGTCCAAGATCAGTGTCGTCACCCCCCCGCCCCGGCTGTCCATTTCCAAGAGGTGCAAAGGCAGAGGAGTTTATAGCAACCCCCCGGCCAGGATGTTTCCAACTAAAACTCCATCTGTAAGGGCATGTTCCACATCTCTCTCCTCTATCTTCAGGAAAACCTGGAGAAGAGATAAAGTTCCTTACTAAGCACAGCTGCCTTGTAAAGGTACCTAGCAGACACAGCCCAACCTACTCATCACACCAACCTCCACTAGCAAGAAAGGTTTCTTTCAAGTAGCAACATGCACATAGGAAGGAACTGCACCACCAGAGAGAACCAGTGCTGGCCAGCCAGCCTTCCACTGATGCTCTGACACCAGCCCATCCAGCCCAGCACCCCATTGCCGCATTAAGCCTGGCCGCTGCTGAGAGCAAGGCTGAAATGGCACATCTTCCAGTAGGAGCTGGCACATCCCCATGACAAAACTATGCAAGTGCAAGAGTCTAAAGGTCAGGGCAGTCTTTCACATGCCCCACCCTTCCCCCACTCATGATCCCCCGCCCCCGACCCCTTCCCAGGGCCTTTACCCTCTCACTTCTAATCTCCCCACCTCCCCTTCTGGGCTCTGTAAGTATCACAGCTATCAGCTCTGGGGGCAGGTCTGGTACCTTTGACAGCCTAGTTTCCTTGGCTTTCTTCAGACCTAGGATGCCCCTGGATTCCAAGGAAGCAACAAGAGAGATGCATTCAGACTGGTCAATAGCTGCTACCTGCTGCTTCCGGCAAACTTTGCTGTAGGCTTCATGGAGCTGGGATGGGAAACAAAGAGCATGTTACACAGGAGCTGAAGAGGACCAGGCAAGGTCTAGCAAAGCCTTCCCTGCCTTGGATGGCTTTCTGGGCTCACACATCATTCAGATCAGTAGCTAGGCCCAGGTCCCCTCCAGCGCGGGTGAACTTCGCTGAGGGCAGCACAAGGCTGGCCCAACCCCAGATCCCCAGGGAGGACACAGCTGCTCCATTCCTATAGTGCCCTTGGCCAAGCCTAAACAGGGTTCAGTGCTATTCACACCCAGGGACTCAAACACCAAACTCACAGCTCAACTAGGTTAGAGACAAGCAGAGACCACCCAGTGCCTCAACTCACCTTCCCCAGCATGACCTCCTTGGCTTTGGACTGCTTGGCTAGCAGCAGCAGGGAGCAGACCAAGATCTTCTGCTGGAGGGGGAAGGAGTCGTTGGCTTCCCCACCTCTGGGGGCCATCCTGTCACCATATACATCTGAGATCACCTGAGAGATGTGCGGGAGCCCAACTCTCTTAGGAACTGGGGAGACCATGGAAGATGTCGGGCATTTGCCTGTAGGACAGACAGTGCTGGGGTCAGCTCAAACAGGCAAGCAAGGCAATTACATGGGCACAGCAAACAGAATAGTGCCAAACCTACTGTGCAACGGCTACCTATTAAAGGCAACCCTGACAAGACATGGCAGTTTACTAGGAAGCCATAGGCGAAAGCGGGATGAAAACATCCTTCCCTCTCCAAAAGGGATGGAAACCCAAGCCCCACACTGCCAGACCCACACGTGAGAACTAGGAAGTGAAACCGATCCAGCCAGCTTCGCTGGCAGGGCAGCACTGGGCTGAACGCCAGCAGTATGAAACAGCAGACTTTCAAAGCCAGCCCCATTCGGATCGTCTGAGGCCACAGGAAAGATGGTTCATATTCACCAAGGGCTGCTAAACCAGCTGAGGCCCCAAGGCACAAGAGGGTTTAGCTCGCACATTAAGAATGGAACATCCCACATGAGGCAAGGTCCGAAATCCTCAGGGGCACAGACTTAGGGACAGGGCCACGTTTACTCCTCCTCTCGCACCCCACCATCATCCAGTTACAATCTGCACTTGGAAGCCCAACTGACTGGCCGGCGTCCTCAGCTGAACTCCTGCCTCCAACGCCTTCCCTTCATGCACTGGTATTTTGCACCTATGCCTAAGTACTTGCATCATATTTAAAAGACAGCCCCAGAGACAAGAGCAGGTGTGACCTTCACATCCAGGGCATCCTGCTCCCAGAAAACTGAAGGGAAGCTTGCCGCATGCCAGCCATTTGTGCACATCCCCAGGGAGTTCCGTTCCAGTAAGGCACAAAATAGGCCGCTGGTGAGGAAGGCTACAATTAAGGTCGAGGAGAGCGACAAAAGAGCTGAGAGCAGCGCTTCCTGATTCAGGCAGGCAACAGTTACTTACAGCCAGGCAGCGGTTTGAGGACAGTTTGGCTTCTCACATCCACCTCCACAATCTCAATGGCTCGCCTACAACACAGAGAGTTAGACAAGTCATTTCAGAGCAAGGGGAAGGAAGCGAGAGTGCCCCCTGTCCCCAGTCCCCCCACCCCCAATCTGCAATGAAATGGAGCAGCTCAGACCAACCAAGCTTTGTTCATGTTGCAAGATCAAGTCCTCATTGCAACCCATAAGAACCCAAAACCTACCCAGCCATCCCCACCTGCTATGCACACCTATGCAGGCAGCCCCTGGCTATAATGAATGGCTATCTCCACTTCAGGCTTTGCTCCAGCCAGGAGAGCATACTGATTACAGACACTGCCAAGTATTCACTTCACAACAGCGAGGCATCTGTCTGCCTTCATGCAGGGCTGCTTGTTGCTGGCTATAGCTTTGTCAAAGGCCCCATGGGATTGCTGCCCCCTGCACCCTTAGTGTATATTCAACTGCAGTCACTCGACATGCTAACCAGGAAGGCTGGGACAACGCCTCGGAGCTCTCTAGGGGCCACAGACTCACAACTATCTAATGACAAGGTCTGTGCTCAGAGAAAGGAGGCATAAAACAGTGTGAACGCAGACTCCATGAGGTGCAAGCGGTACACATGGCCCATTAGAAGCAGCTCGTTTGCGTCTCTTTAAAACATAGCCCTAACGAGGCTAAGCGCTCCAGTTACTGTGGGAACAGCATGGGATCGAGGTTGGGAGGGGAGCAGCCTAGGAAAGAGCTTCACAGCGGGTAGGAGCTGGAACCAGGCAAAACTACTGTAGGATGGGGCCAGACATAGGGGAAGGGTGTTGCAGGGGAAGAGCTCCGACTCCGAGAAACTGGGGAGCTGCCCCCTTTTCCCAACAGTACTCACAGTGTTCACCTCCTAACCAGGGTTTCCACCACCTTGAATTCCAGGCGACGTGTAATAGCCAAAGCCCCTTTAAATCAAATGGGCATCCTCTCTGCCCCATCCCCACCTCACGAAGGGCCAGTGGGGAAGCCTCAAACAGCAAGCACCTTTTGGAGTAAACTCGCCTAGCCTTCCACCTCCCTGCAGAGGGGTCACCTAGCAAAGGGAGGATTCCTGACTGGGGATGGAATCACCCTTCCTGTAACAAAACTGAAAGAAGAAACAGGCCAAAAAGGAGGAGACTGGGGAGAATGAAACTCTGAAAGCAAGACTGTTCAGCTCCATAAAGAAGCCTGCTTGAGAGCTGCTAATGGGGCCTTTTTGCAATACAAATGTAATTAACCAATCTATAGTCACAGCGGGAGGGGTTGGCAGCAACCCATTTGTCTCACCCTCCATAGGTAATGGACTGCGAAAGTCTCAGACATTAGCGTGGTCAGGAGGCAGGGCTCCTGTAGAGATGCAAGCACCCCCCCCTCCTTTTCCCTAGCAGGAAAGCAGGGGACATAATGGAGCCTTAAGTCTCATTCTCTTGAACTACATATCCCCAGTTTTGGAGGCAGAAGGGCAAAGGGGGTCATTCACCTGCAGACATCCAGCGCTTTCCGGGCATCTCCAGAGACCGCAGAGACTTTACGCGCGCAGAACTGGATGGTAGCACTGTCCAATACCTGGGCACCAGGCACCTGCCAAGAAGACAGAGCATACAAGGGTTACAGGAGAGGTCTCTGCTGCACAAGCCACAGATGGTCTCAGATCACTGACTTCTTGATGTTCAGTGAGAAAATAACCCATCTGGCTGGGACGTATGTGGACTGTCTCTTCCATGCTCCACAGCAGCTGGGAAGGCCTGTCGCCATTTGGCTTGGGAAGAGAGCATATCATTTACCTCACTGTAGCCAAGATCAGCTGCTCTGAAGATGAGGAATCAGGGAAAAGGAGTAATTTGCTCCTCTCAACATCCCAACTGCATGAGCCCTGTCCTCTGCCAGACTGTGGCATCTGGACACTAGGACCAGAAACCAAGTGCTTGGATTGAGATTGGAGTCTGTCACTAAGTGACCTTGTAGCAGAAAAAGCCATCGTGCTGCCCCATCTTGTCCATCAACTGAGAAGCAACAAGCTCAGAGATCGAGCCAAGCCATCCCTCTTGGAAACCAACACTGCAGAAGAGTCTTTGGTCTCCAGGTTACCAGGCCCAGCAGCCAGCTCACTGGGTTCCAGATCTCAATGGAGACTGGTTCAAAGGCTGAGGAAGCTGCAGGTGTCAGTAAGCTTCTTCTCCAGGAGGAAAGACCACCTAGGCCCTGCATGCTCACCTGCTTCAGCCGCTCCTGCAGGATGGAGGTGATCTCATCCTTTGTGTAAGGGAGGAAGTTCAGCAGCTGGGGCTTGCACTTGGGCCGGGCCTGCAGCCTAGTCAGCATGCGGTCAGTGAGATCCAGGGCATTGGCCACTCCTGCAAAATCCAGTAAAGGAGCTGGTAATGGCAGCCTTAAGAAAGAAACCTGGGCTAGCAGGGCATGGGGATGACCCTCTAAAAGGTGGGTTGGGAGATTAAGAGCTTCTGATGATGCTTTATTTTTTAAAGCAGCCATCATCAGGCACTACAGTAGCAGGAATAGACTCTCTGCAGCCAAGAGCCAGCTTCATAGATGTTCTTCCTCCTCCAAGCAGAGGACTCCCAGGTAGCCCCTGCAGGAAGCTGGAAAGGCACCATCCCCTTAGGGCTCCTGCAAGCTCAGAATGGTTGAGGCAGGACGTGGCACTGGTGTCTCTCTCTAGGACACTTACCAATGAGGACAAGCCTGGAGTTGGCAAGCCAAGGCCATTCAAACACTGTGTAGAGCACGTCCTGCCTTTTGCTGTCCAGCTGGTCCAGCTCGTCAAGCACCAGCAAGCTACGCAGAGGGAGGAGAAAAGCTCCAGTGAGCAGCAATGCTTTACACAGAAGCCCTAGAGACTGAGCTACCTCAGCTGAGCCTGGCAAGGCGCAAGCCTGGTAGCAAAATATGAGCCAGGGAGAATGCTGCTGACCTATTCTCCCATCTAGTGGGGAAAAGATCAGCACTGACTTAATTTGTTAATTGGTTGCACTTGCCTGAGAACACTGCTACCATATGGGCTGCTTTTGCTCAGCCTCTAGACATAAAGAGCTGCCCTCGGCACAACAGGAAGATTTCCAGAGCATGTTCACCAGTGCCCTGGGGCAGGTACTCACATCATAGGTGCCCCCTTTGCTGTCAGCTGCTTCTCCAGCTTCCTCGTGATTTCTTTCCCAGCCATCTTGGCTACCGCCTGCAGGCCCATCTGCTCCGCTATCGCTGGGAACACAGCCTGGGAGCTACTGAGGGACATGCAGTTGAGCACAATGGTTTTGCTCCCTGTGAGCTTGCCCTGCCAAAGAGACACAAAGCCATGCGTCACACATGGTATGACTCGGATCCCACCTTACCCATCCTCGTGATAGAGCAGACCAGCAGACCTATGCTTCATGAGTCTAGTCCACATTGAAGACCTGCTAGCAATGATCCCCCTCTCCCCTCTTCCAGGAATCCCTGCAGCATCATGGCAGATTCAAACTCCCCACAGCTGCATCCCAGTGCCCCTTTCCTCCTATTGTTTCTCACAGCCTCTTCCTCAGACTCCACTCTTCACTAAGCCACCAGCTCCATTTCCCCCATTCCACCAGGGCCGTCCCTAGGGGGGTGCGAACTGGGGTGACCACCCAGACCCACACTTTGGGGGGCCCCACGGCAGCCAGTGCCATATAGGTCCCACCGTGGCCGTCATGCACTGTGAGTCGCTGGCGCTGCCAGTTCTGGCCACTCGCCACTGCCACCCCCCCCCCCACTCCTAGGGACAGCTCTGCATTCCACCATTTACAAGGCATTTATTTACCTGAATCAAAGCCCCAAAAGACAGGGACCCCAGTAAAACTGACTTGCTCTGCACACAGACACACCTCATGTGCAAAAATCACTGCTACCTAATCACTAGGGCCAAGTGTTTGAGCTGTAACAAACTGCAGAAGTAGCCTTGAGGTAGGGTCAAAGGAAAGTGAGGCTTCTTCACCATTTCCTCTCTTCCCTGTCTGCCCCCAACCACATTTGACACTTAACCTCCAACTTCCAAGAAATATTCCCTCCTGACATCAGATTGCCCAAGAGATTTCACAGCACTGAGATTTGGCTTGTCAAAGCAAGTGAGGAGCACTGGGCCTGCAATAGGCAGGTTTGTTCCAGGTTTAGCTACAGCAAAGACAAATGTGTCAGTAACAAAGCCTTTGAGTCCAACACCTGAAGCGCAGGTGTGGCTGTACCTTGAAGTCTTGCAGGATTTTGCTCAGGCAAGCAGTTTTCCCAGTGCCAGGGGCACCAGAGATGTAGAGGCTGCCGGGGATCTCCCTGCAGAAATGTTCTTTCAGGAACTGCTTGATGAAGTCTGTTTCTCCCTGCAGACATGTTCTTTCAGGAACTGCTTGATGAAGTCTGTCTCTTTCTCCCTGGCATGGAGTCGATCGGGGACAGCCGTGTGCAGGACACGTTTCACCTGCTGGTAACAACTACCTAAAGACAGAGACCCACATGTAAGAGGAGGTGCAGGAGCTGCCCTGGGCCCTTCTCTCCACCTCAACTGCAGTAGCACCTACCTTCCTGTTTGAACAGATGTGTGCACACAACTTCCTTCTTTGGAGAGCGTTCAGAGCTCCGTGGGGTCTCCTGCCCCTTGCGAATCGGGGACAGAACCAAATTGCTTCTCTTGTCAGGAGATCTTGCTGTCAGCTGCTCACCAAAGAACAAGCGCCGTCCTTTGTGGGAGACAGATAGGGGTCCATTTTCTTTCTTGCTCTGCTTCGTTGGGGAGCAGGGTGCCAACTGGACAATGTTGCACAGGTTGTCGTCACCTGCATGGCAGAGAAGTACTGAGCTCAGTAGGCAGCTGCAGCGCAGAGGGAGAGGAACAGCTACAGGAAGACCTGCCAACTGGATACCTTGCCATAGGATGAGCTTATGTGGCAGGCTCTCGAGAACAGAAGAGGGTCGCACCTGACCTTTGCCACTGGAAATCCCTCCCCCTCCCCAGAAGCACTTCTTGAAAATCCCCACCCCCCACTGCTTCCCTACCTGCTACCTGAACTGTTGCAGCAGAGACATGAGGAGATGCTGCTGGAGGCTGGTGGGGAGCAGAGTAGTTCCCTGGGTGGCTGCAGTAGCAACAGCTCTGCCCAGAAGTCGTGTGCTGGCCAGGGCCAGGGCCCTCCCACACACAGTGTCCTGGTGGGAGTGGACAAAGCTCAGCCCCATGCAGAGTACAGCAGGGGCAGCTCCAGGCTCAGCCAGATGCTATTAGTTGGTGGCCACCCGCCTATGGGCCACATGAAATTGCCTGGCAGGTTAGATGCAGCCTGTGGGCTGTAGTTTGCCCACCCCAGCTCTAGCTGCACTCAAACCCCCCATTTCATCCACTAAAACAGTGAGGCCAACCTGTCTGGCAGGCATGCCACAAGTTAACCCCACATCCTCCGTGAGTGCCCCTCTGATCCCCTTTCCCCATCCAATCTGCTGCTTTTTTCTGCCCTACCTTCCTTACCCAATCTACTGCTCTGTTTTCTGCTTCCTTCCCTGTGCTCCCTGCCCTATATGCCGCTGTGCTGTCTTCTCCCAGATCTGGCATGTGCCCATTACTTGTGGCGCAAGTCCCACAGGCTGGCCACCCCTACACTAAAGCAATCCCACTAACCAGAGAAGAAAGGAAAGATCAGGAATGGTAAGTACTATTAAGGCCTAGAGCAACTTTGGCAGTTAGAGAAGCAGAGAAGGGAGTTCACCCCTCTCAGAGGCATTGGCTCAGGCTGTTTGCAGATTTGAGATACTGCTGCATGGGTTATACCAGTTCACATTTCATAGGCTGCTACCATCACCAAAAAAGCAGAATCAAGTATTTAGACACAACTGCCATATTTACTTGAATCTAAGATGAGGTTTCTTTCCCCATTCAGCATGGGGGGAAAAACCCTTATCTTAGATTTGAGTATGGGCCAAGCAAGTAGCTGCTGCAGCTATGGATGGGGCCAGGGTAGCTCACACAGCAGGCAGAGGGTGCAAGGTGTGGAAAGAGGAGCAGGGCGTGCAGGGGAAGGGACATGTGGAGTGAGTTGGTATTCAGGGAAAGGGCACTGGGGAAAGGGAGTGCAGAATAAGGAGGAGCATAAGTAAAGTGGGGTGAAATTAAGAAGACTCTCCAATAACTAGATTCTCAACATAGAAAAATTAAAACAAATTTAGTGTTCCACATCAGGAACCTAATAACTAGGGGGGTGGGGGGCACATCTTAAATTCACAGTCATCTTGGATTTGAATAAATATAGTAGTATCCAGGGCTGCTTGGTTGAGATGGTTAAATACCTCAGGGATTCCCAACCTCAGCAGGCCTAGCAGCCAGCCACTAAACAAGGAATGCATTGCAAGCATAATCAGATTTTGCTTGAGCCCAAGACAACAGCATTTCTTTAAGGCAGAAACCAAACTGGAAGGCATCACAGGGGATGTGTTGCCTGTAGGCCATGAGTTAGGGACCCTAAGCAATACCCTCCCAATGAAATAAGCTATGTTTCTATGAAAAAAACCACTGCCATCCCAACCACACTGGCACTAGAATTTGAGGTGTGGATGAGCCCTGGGATGGCAACTTGTGAGGCACTCACCACACAGAAGACTAAGGCATGCGTTTAGCCATCACAGCCCCTGAACAAATGGGGGTGACCCTCACCCCCTCGACTATCAGGGTAAGGCTTGATCCTGTACACGAACAACCATGGACTACAGAGTGGGGCTGGGAGCCTGGGATCCCCCTCACATCCAGCTCCTTCTCTGCCTTCATCCTAGGGGTCAGTGTCACGCAGCACAACCCTTTCAAAGGAAGTTCTGCCTCAGGGCTCCCAAGAAACCGTATTAGGTCTCCCTCTCCCCAAAGTCCCCCTGAAGCAGCCCTAGGCACAGCTTCACAAGGGGCAAGCTTCTGACTTTAAGAAGTTAGTTTTTCTTGGTCCCTGGCGATCCGTAGGTTCTCCCTCCTCCCCTCCAGCTCTAAGAGCTCTTTCTTTTTGGTCAACTGTGGGAAGGGAGTGTTTTCTCTTTTGGGGGGTAGTGTCAGAGGGCCAATGTCCCAAGTGGCACAGCAAATTGCTCAGCCCCAAACGGAAGCCTTTGTGGTGCCACTGCAGTGCCTGCTGGCCTTCCTCAGACTCTGCCCCGTCCTCTCCATATTTAGAGTCAGGAAAGAATTTTACCCTATGGTCGGGCGGGGGGGCGGCAGGCGTTGCCTCTCTCTGTATCGGGGAGCATGGCCCTCTACCTGACTTCTCTTGAGCATATACTGACAAACAACATTTCACAGAAGCAGGACGTTGGCTGCCGTGGTTCTCCCGCTTTGCCTGCAGCAGGTTTGGGTGCCAGATCTGTGTTGCGTTAGGGTTGACAGTAGGTTTATGTCACGTTGTACAGGATGGTTTGGATAGGGCTGATCCTGCCTCAGGCAGGGTGTGGAATTAGGTGACCTCTGGAGGTTGTTTCCAGCTGTACTTCTCTAAGACTCCCTGGGACTGCTCCTTTCCTGTCTGCCTCAGAGCCCCATGCTCTTCCCTGGGGCCCAAGCAAAAAAACTTGATGGCAAATGCAGGGATGGCCCCAGCCCCATCAAACAGCACCATGTCACAGGGCACCCAGCAGGGGGCTGAGCCAGGGTCTCAAAGCCAGAGCGGGCCCCTCAGGAAGCAAGAGACGTAACATAGCTTCTTCTCAGGAGCCCAGAGATAGGACTTCCCCCCAAGCAGGACACAGCACTGCCTGAGGGCAGACCAGGCACTGGGCATCTCTGTGGCCTCCAGCCAGGCCCAGGCAGGGCAGAAAGGGCCCGGGAGAGCAGGGCTGGAGGGAACCCCCAAGGCTACCCCCACCACTGCCGGGTGCCCATCCTGCCTGCTCTGGGGCACTCCCTGCCCCCAGGCCCGGGGGTCACATCACCCCACACGGGGGCTCGATCCTGACACGTGGGCCCGATGCGGGTGCTCACCGAGGCGCTTGCGAGGGCTGAGGGGCAGCGCTGGGGCTGGGCCCAGAGTGGCTCCGCTGGGCTCCGGGGCTTGGCCGCTCCCCAGCCCCTTGCTGGGCGTCCGGGCGAGCTTCTTCTTGGGGAAGCCGATGGCGGTCTGAACCTGGGCCCTGGTGCTGGGCATGGCGCTCGCTCCTTACCTGCGAGAGGACGGGAAGGTGAGTGGGGCCGGGACCCCGGTCAGCAGTAGCAGTGCCCGTCACCCCAGCCCCGCTCCGCTCCTGCTCACCCTCGGGTCCGGTTTCTCTGCCCTGATCACGCTTAGCCTCCGAGTTCCCGCCACCAAACCGGCCCCGCCCCAGCCGCCTTCCCATTGGCTGCCCCAGTCGCCGCGGCCGCCAAAGGCGTTACTCCGCGCCAACAAGGCCACACCGCCTCCGCCAGGGCCCCAGCAGCCAATCAGAGGCGCGTTCCACGCCCCCCTCGCCGGAGACCGCAGGACGCCCGTCTTGGGCAAGGGCCGCCGGATGGCGGCCACGATGCATGCCGGGAGGCGTAGGCCTGACAGTTGTTTCCTGAAGCGTAATGTGCCTACGGCGGTGCATGCTCGGAGTTAGAGTCCCGGTCTCAGGGCATGCTGGGAGTTGTAGTGGCAGCCTACTGTCCACCCTTTGGAAAGGCAGTGCAGGGGCCCGTGCACGGCCTCCCTACTGGGGGTTGAGTGGGCCCCTGCCCAGGAGTGCTGGCCCTACAGTCACCAAGGGTAGTGGGGAGGAGGGAAGCACAGAGGGCTGCAAGGGGAGGGAGCAGGGGCACAGCATCCAGCTCAATGTTGCCATGTCTTGACTATGAAATTATCATACTGGAAGTTCAAAATTATCATATTTGCTAAAACAAAACTATCATACACTGAAAAAAAGTATGCAAATAAGTCTTCTTATTGTTTACTTTATATTGCTCACTATACTTTGCCACTGAGTGACTGGATCATCAAAGCTGAAGCATTTATTTTGAGACAAGCACTCATAAGGAAGTGCTGACGGCAAACCCAAAAGTCAGTTAAGACTTCCTGAGAGTCACTTGGGTTTTGCATATGCTGCATCAATTAACTGCCTTAAAAATTATTGTACATTTTAAACAATTTTACTATTATTGATTGTACATAACATCATACACGGGTTGAAATTATTGTACAAATACGATCATTATTCTACACCTGACAGCGCTGATCCAGCTCCTGCCAGCTGTGGTGCTTGCTGCAGCCTAAGCCCTACTGTGCCCAGTTTGGAGGCCTCCAGTCACCTTTACTTGCCATCCAAGATGTCAGTCAAGAGCAAATTAGAGGGACCAGTTCACCTGACTCCCCGACTGCCCAAATTTTGGAGCTGTAGGGAGCCACTGCAAGGCCACCCAGGGCAAAGCCAAGGTGCCAGGAATGGGCACCAGCTACAGTAGCCCCTGCAAAGCCTTCCCCAGGCCTGGCTGCCAGAGCCACACACCACCTGTGCCCAGTCTAGGTGGGGATGCAAGTGAGAGAAGACATGTCCAGGCACGAGGGTGAATTCTCTCCCTTTCTGTGGCTTTCATTGCTATATGATTCACGCAGGAGCATGACTTCCTGAACCAGGACACGTGTGGGTGAGGTGCATCCCAGAGAAATGTTAGTCATAGCTCTAGAGTGGCATGTCAGGAAGTGATTCCTGAATTACCTCTGTGACCAAGCGAGGCCTTAACAGGTACTACAAGGAGCTAATTTTAGGACTCTGGGTTGCCAAAACCTTGGGGCTTCCTCCCAGCCAGCCCCATTAGACACCTCAATACCAAGCCAAGCAGCACTGACCACTTCCCATACTACAAGATGAGGAAAATATTGCAGAGGGCTGGACAGGAAAGGGGCTGGAGTGAAAAAGAGCTTCTGCAATTATATCTTCAGGTAATCATTTAACAGGCCAGACTCTAGAACAGTGGTTTTCAACCTTTTTTTCATTCATAGAGGCTTACAAAATTTCAAATGGCAGTGTAGACCCCTTTGAATTGTAAGCATGGGAATTGACGTATTTTTGATTGATCATAGTCATCTTTCATGGACCCCTCAGACAGTCTATGGATCCCCACGGGTCTGCAGACCACAGGTTGAAAACCACTGCTCTAGTAGTTACCTTGCAGTAACCTACAGTAGTTGTACCCATGCTAGGCCGTAGCTGTCGCATGCTGAGAGTTAGATGGATCCATGGCTTACCCCTACTAATCATAACCTAAGTCAATAGTCTTAAGGCCAAAATAGAGCGCACCTCTATGCCTGAAGTACCAAAGCTGACACAGCCACCATCTAGATTAAGGCTACAGAGAGAGGCACAGTGACTAGTGCTGTGAACTAGGCTTTTTCAGTAAATAAGCATGCAAAGATTTTCCCTTTTAAAAAACAAGGTCCCCCCCATACTCAAGGCTGTTGGAAGGGTGGTGGCAGGAGGGGCTGGTGTACAATTAAAGAAAGCTTCTGAATATAAGGTACCTCAACAAACCAGCACATTGTAGCAAAGGTAAATACTGACAGATGCCCTCAGATTAGGGAAATTTGAAACCTTCAGCAATTCCTGTTCTTCCCCCACAAATGCAAAGGAAAAATGAAGAACTGATAAAGGAGCCATTAAATCACCCCCCCTCTAAATGACCCAGGGCCAAGATCAGAGTCCTAGCCTGCCCTGTACCACATGAATACCTAATGCAACAGTCATTGCGCAGAAGGGTGTACAATCTGGAAGGGAAGCAGATGCAGGAACTTCCTTATGGTCACAGAGCAGGCATGGAAGCCAATTCTCTTCCCACAAACTTGGGCAGCCTTTTTTCATTACACTTGAGAACCAGAGCCAACTACACACACAAGTAGCTGTACCTGGAGAAGCTGCCTCTTCCTGAAGCAGGAGAAAAGAAGAAACAAGTAGATTTTTAAGATGTGAAGGCAGCCTAGGCAACTGGAAAAGCTATTTAATGGCTGGTAGGATTCAGCTGGAGTTCTGTAAAACACTTACCTTCCTTGCTCAGGAGAGGCCCAGGAAACCCAATTAGCCCTTCCTCAAAGGCCTAGTTATTTGAAAATGGAGAGACATGTAAACCCCAGGAACTGAGTGGTAGTTTGGAATCCTTCGCCCCAGCATAGAACCAAGTCCAGGGTGGAGTGGCAGGACGGGAGACACTTCTCATCTAGCACTGGGCTAGTGCAGAGCAGTTCAATAGCATGTGGTTTCAGGTTTCCCCGGCAATGCAAAGTGCATCCCTCCCCTGCCCCTGTCCAGCATATGAGTAAGATTTCAGAACAGGGAAATAAGATGCTTTCTAGTTAGCCTAGAGCCATTATAGCTTTTATTTAACCCCTTTCTCTAGGCTCTGCCACCACAAGTCCCAGAGCTGCAGGTAATTCAGACAAAAACCTTCAAGATACCAGAGGCTAACCTAGCTGGCTGGCTAGATTGCTGCTCATCAGTCCCAAAAAGGCAGCAGTAGCACCTGATGGCAAGTCCTTCCTAAACAGGACCAGAAGCATGGTGCATGCAGATTTTCTGCACCATATCCCAAAGAGACTCGGTCCCACAAGTCTTTGATGCCCCTCTGTTTGTAGGGAGCTTTATTGAAAACTGCTAGGCTGCAGCAAGTCTTACACCTTCTACCTGAAGGCAGAGCAGGGTGGCACCACAGACCGTTTCAGAGAGGCATAAAGCTTTCATAAGCAACAGCTTGTTTCATTAGAAGCTAGGAATGGATTTGCAGAAAGCAGGGATTCTAACTTCCAAAACGACATAGGAACAAGGCATCCATTTCTGAGGGGGGGAAATCAAGGCATACCATGTTGGGGCCCCCATTTCTGAATATCTAGTAGCATGAATGTGTGTCAGAGTTGAGACAGTGTCACAGTGGTCATAGTCTTTCTGGATTTTAGGAAGGCCTTCGACACTGTCTCTCACCCCATTCTCATTTAAAAAAAAAAAAAAAAAAAAATCAGGAGATTGTGGTGTTGATGCCTACACAGTCAGATGAGTCGCCAATTGGCTGGAGAGCTGCACCCAGAGGGTGGTGGTGGATGTGTCATTTTCGACCTGGAGGGATGAGGGCAGTGGGGTCCCCCAGGGCTCGGTCCTCGGGCCCGCACTGTTCAACATCTTCATCAGCGACTTGGACGAGGGGGTGAAAAGCACCTTGTTCAAATTTGCGGATGACATGAAGATGTGCGGAGAAGTGTGCACGCTAGAAGGGCCCAGGGATAGGCTGCAATTGGATCTGGACAGGTTGCAGGGGTGGGCAAATGAGAATAAGATGGGATTCAATACTGACAAGTGCAGGGTACTGCACCTAGGGAGAAAGAACCAGCAGCAGACCTACAGGCTAGGGAACTCCCCTCTCGTCAGCACAGAGGCAGAAAAGGATCTTGGAGTCATTATAGACTTCAAGATGAACATGGGCCGAGAGTGTGGGGACGCAGTCAGGAAGGCCAACCGTACTCTGTCATGCATCCACAGATGCATGACGAGTAGGTCCAAGGAGGTGATCCTTCCCCTCTATATGACATTGGTTAGACCACAGTTGGAGTACTGTATTCAGTTCTGGGCACCGCACTTCAGGAGGGATGTGGACAACATGGAGAGGGTCCAGAGAGGGACCACTCACATGATCAGGGGACAGCAGGGCAGGCCTTCCGAGGAGAGGCTACGAGACCTGAACCTGTTCAGCCTCCACAAGAGGAGGCTGAGAGGGGATCTGGTGGCCATCTATAAACTGGCCAAGGGAGACCAGCAGGCAATGGGAGAGACCCTGTTCCCCCGAGCACTACTGGGAGTAACAAGGAATAACGGCCATAAATTGATGGAGAGTAGAGTCAGGCTAGACATCAGGAGGCACTACTTCACTGTCAGGGCAGCTAGGATCTGGAACCAACTTCCAAGGGAAGTGGTGCGCTGGCTCCTACCTTGGGTGTCTTCAAAAGGAGGCTAGATAGATAGACACCTAGCCAGGGTCATTTGACCCCAGCATTCTTTCCTGCCCATGGCAGGGGGTCGGACTTGATGATCTGCTCAGGTCCCTTCCGACCTTACCAACTATGAAACTGTGGTCAATTTTGAGAAGCCCTAAGGGCTAGCACTTGCCACAGAAGTCAAGGGCAGGGTGTTGGGCTTCTGCATGGCCATATGCGTTTGGAATTGGAGGCCACTGCTGCCATGGTACAGCTGGGACCTTCCACTGGATCTTCCATTTCTGTCCCACAGAAAGCAGCAAGACTGGTGGAGCAGTCGCATCATACCAGATGCAAGATCAAACACTCAGAGAGCAAAAAGAGTAAATAGAGACAGATACGTTATTACCCTCTTTTTAGAACTAAGGCAGCGATTCTCAGCCAGGTTCTGAGAGACTCTTAAGGGTACCACACAGTTAGGTGTGGAAACATCTATATGATGCACAGGATAGACCGAGAGATATCAAATAGGAACCCAGAGGCAAAAAACCACTCTGACCTGTTGGGTTGGGGTCTTTCTGAGTTCTCTGCAATGTAAGAATTGCTCTTTTTGTTTCTTGACCATGGAAAAATAACAAAAGCTAAAAGCTGGCATTTTCTAAGGAGTGCCTCAAGTATAAAAAGGTTGAGAATCACTGCACATGGGAAACTGAAGAGCTCTCACTTCCGCATAAATCAGCAAGTTTTGGAATTGCTGATCTACCAGGCCACAATAATGTGTGAAGGGGAAATCCTGGACAAAGATAAGATTTACAAATCTTACCCTTAGTTCATCTCTCTAAACCAACACAGAGTCCAAAGCATGACAACAAAGAATTGGGATTATTATTTTTAATAGTGAGGTTTAAAGAACTGCATTGGAGGTGAAACGGGAAGAAGCATACAAAAGAATTAGATCAGAGTTCAAACTACAGTACGAGTCCCTTCAAGGGAGAAGTTAAAAAAAAAATATCATACAATAAATTATAAAAATCCAGCTAACATGCAGACTCCCCACACACACAGGTCAGGTCTAGGGCATTTATACAACAGCATGTCAAACACTTCAGCTCTTCCATGCTGTGAATTTGTTGCAGTGGAAGGAAGACTCGGGCAACTGGAATCCTTCAGCCTGGTGGCACTGCAGATGGTCAAGAGGAAGTGGACTTTAAAATAGGACCAAACAGGCAGAAGAAAATAGTGAGGGGACTATGCACACCGATTTCCTTCCGTCAAAGCAGTACAAGGAGGAAAATTGCCTTTGACATGGTAAGGCACAATGAGGGCGAGTGGAAATGAAGAAAACCTCTCTTGTTCAACAATCATTCTTGATCAGAGACCTCAATTGGTCTTTCAAAGATCCATCTCGCTTTTGCCTCCCTGAAGCCCAGATGCATGCCTGTTTGGTGCTGTCCCAGCAGCCATGCAAGACAATAGGAATTTGGGCAGCAGAATGGCAGAATCTTAGTTCTTGGCTGGTCCCAAAGTCTGGATTTCAAACTGATTGCAGCAGGGCCTTGTTAGGTGATGCAGATCCTCGGTGGACAAGAACACCTCTGATTGCTGCAGCATCTATGTGTGCAAAGACCCTGGTCTGAAGAACCACCATTTCAAGAAAAAATAAACCCTGCATTACATTTTGCAAAGTTTGTAACAGATTATTTTCTCTCTCACCATTCCTTGGAGAAAGATTATGGTTCAAGGTTGCTTAGGCTCCTTTCCAGGGCCCAGCTGGCCAAGGTATCACACTGGCACGTAGTGGTACATTCTACCTTCGGTCCCTTCCCCACCACTGGCACCCAGTCACCAAGGTGATTTAATACCTCCTTTAAGAGCTCCCAGCATGGTACCATTAGCAGCATCCTTTAACAAATCACAGTTTGGTGGAGCAGAATGCTCCGCATTGCTATAAAGCTGGCTCAGCCTGCATTCCCCAGTGATGGATAAGCTGCCATGACAGCACTAACAGTTGGGGTTTTGTCAACAGCAGCATGACAAAGGACATGCTAACAGGTTTCAGGTGAGCAGTAAGTACCACAATGCACATACAATGAGATTATAAACACCTAACATCAAAGTGCTTTGGCCCAGAATTTGCTACTTGAACAGACGTGCACCTTTATTTTTATTTAAATGTGATATCAAGTTTACTGTTTTGCTTTTTAAATTTTGTCGTCTGAAAAGAATCCCCTCTTCGCTTCCAAAAAAAATCAACAAGTTGAGGAAGCCAACATTACAGGGGAAAAAATATATTGTATATATATTTCTTCCTTTTAAAAATTTATTTAAACAAAAATGCACAGTGCATTTAACTTCTCTTCCCAACCAGCTAAGCTGGGCAGATTTTTTTTTTCCTCCAGAAAAAAAACAAAACACAACAACAAAAGTTTCCTTTAACTGGGCAGTGTTCCTCAACATGAGTGCTGCCTAGTTCTAACTTAAAAAGGATACACTTCCATCATCATAGAAAAAAAGCGGTTTAAAGGTGAGTATTTTAGTATACTTGCAACAAGCCCACCTTCCTCCTATATTACAAGCTTTTTACAACATAGAAAATAGATTGGTAACTATGATTAATGTAACCCGCGCCCCATTAGAGTAAATATACATAATAAGCAGTCTGGTACCAACAGTTTGACAGAAGTAGTGTATAAGGCAAAACGTCAGCTAGGTATTGTATTATTAGAAACCATTCTGCAGCCTATAAACAGTCAATCAGTTTGGCCAAGCAAGGCCTCATGAGAATTACAGTGAAGATGTCTGCTTATCACATTACTCACTGTGGCATGACAAGCAGCTCACCCACACCGCACTCCTCCTCACAGATCCATATATCTAGCCCAACTCCTTTTGTTTCTTAATGCTACCACCAAGATAACCTCCCCAATTAGTGTGATGCCTTTGGTAGGTTGCCCTTACAGTTGAGATGGCCTAAGAGGGCCACCCCACTGCACTCACACAGGAACCTGTCAGTATGATTATGCTGACCACTCCTGATGTGGCGTGTTCCCTTTGCTGCAGGCTGCTGGCTGTCTCTGAACCAGGAGGTGAGCCAGAGACATCTGCAGCTGTTAACTGTACCGGATCCAAAAAAAGAGATGGACTGGTTTTGTCAAATTAACCATGGCGGGAGAGGGGGCAATCTGGCAACAACATGTGTGTTGTAATAAGACACTGCCTGAGGAACGATGGTGCAGCCCCAGCTAACAGGTCTCAGACAAGAGCAAACACCCAGATTATGCACTGTGCTGCAGCTGCCAGCTCTGAGCTTCTTCGTTTCAAGGCTGTGTTCAGCACCTTTCTACAATGGCTTCCTTCGCTTTCTGACAGTCAAAGATTTGCTTTGATGGCCATTGCCCAGTGGCTCCATGGTCTTTTCTGACAGTTTTAATATCAGCCTACACTCCTTTCAATGTATTACATGCAGAAAGCAGCCGTTTGTTGGCTTTGAGTAACCAGTTCAGTTTAAACTCCCACCCACCCCAGCTTCTCACTTAGCATTAGCTTAACCGGTTAGTATGTAGTGTTCACATCCAATAGTGTTCTTAATATCAAAAACTCTTAGAAGACGTACTCCTTTTCTTTGACCACCTCTACACCTGACTTCCCTCTTTAAAAAGGATCAAATGTTCCTCCCCCAGCCCTGGCAGGAGCAAATGGGTCACTGCTTGTACCGAGCTGGTTTCTGGTCCCAAAACTGCCATGCTGGCTGGCTTGCCCTTCTCCGCATTAATTGCTTTGTGAACCAGGGGGGGAAAAAAAAAAAAAAAGTCTCATTGCATGAATCTTCAGAGCGGAGCAAAAAGCTTCTTTCCAGCATGACACATGGATCTGCAGCTACAAAGTGGAGGATGGAACTCACCCAGATACCACTGCAAAACTGTTTTGTCCAGGTATGAAATGCATAGATGAAGGTGAGAAGGTGGGTTCATCTGAGTGTGTTTTTTTCTTTGTGCTGCTGGGAAAAACGGAGACACTAGGAGCTTCTCATGCAGGTTCCTAAGAGGCAGGGAGGGTGGGGAAATCCATTCAAGGAAAGAAAGAAGGTCCATTTCTCTGCCAAGGAACAACCAGACTCTGCAGCTGGACTTCACCTGGGGATGGGAGGCAGAGGCGGGGCCCCACGGGTAGCTGCAAGACAATAGAAGTTGGCTTAATATGAATCAGGTCCAGGAAACTGGTGGCAGAACTGGTGGTGGGGCCAGCTGGAGCCGAATGGCTGGGAAAATGCTAAACTAGGGTCAGCCGAGTTACCCGACTCAGAGGTCTCCTTGCTGGCTGCCAGGACTCTTTCAAAGGGGGTTGAAGAATTATTTACTTGGAGGTGGACAGGCCTGCTTCCTGGCACAGTTGCTGGCTTCTTTCATCTTGGGAATCAGCCCACTCAGCATATTTTTACTGTTCCCGAAATGCATTAATGTCTGGAGCCTGTGATTTGTTTCCTGTGACTACGGAACCAGCCATTGTAAAGAGGTGAAAGCTACAATGGTTATGTTTCCAAAGCTACATTAAACATTTATTGGTTTAAAAAAACAAAAAACAAAAAACAAAACATCCCAGTCTCCTTGGGAGCCAGGCAAGGGTATGTTAGCTGCTCCAGAACACCAGCTTCCTCTGGGCTGGAGCAGGAGCCAGCAAATGTGCTTCTTCAACCCATGTTACCACAGCATCTGAATGCCTCAACCCTTCAGGCAATTAGCTCATGAGCAGCTGATCTGCCCAGCGCCTTTCTGTTTAGGTCAAGTTCAGTAGTCTTGGGCTCTTAATGTCAGGGGGCACTTCATGCTTTGACCAGATGCACAATTCCAGGCCCCGAGGTGCAGTCACTAAAGCCAATTAGTGCCAGCTCTGGCACCATGGAGGGGCATAAAATAGGTGGGAGTAAACCCCTGAGGATTCTGCTCTGTACACGTGATGACCCCCTCAGCTGACCCAGCACTGGCCTACTGGTGCTACCATCCCAGCTCCCAGCATGGGTGAGGGTCAGGAGGGCAGTGCACTGCCTTCTGGGGGCTCTAACTTAGATTTCATAGACATTAGGGCTGGAAGGGACCTCGGAAGATCATCCAGTCCAGCCCCCTGCCCCAGGGACAGGAAGTCAGCTGGGGTCATAGGATCCCAGCAAGAAAAACATCCAGGTTTCTCTTGAAGACATTCAAAGTAGACACTTGAACCACCTCCGGCAGCAGGCCATTCCAGACCTTGGGGGCTTGGACAGTAAAGAAGTTCTTCCTTATGTCCAGCCTGAAACGGTCTTGCAGGAGTTTATAACCATTCAACCTTGTCATCCCTTGGGGTGCTCTGGTGAACAAATGTTCCCCCAGGTCCTGGTGAACACCCTTTATAAACTTATAGGTGGCCACCAGATCACCCCTGAGCCTGCGCTTTTCCAGGCTGAAAAGTCCCATGGCTCTCAGCCTCTCATCATAAGGTCTGTTTTCCTGACCTCTGATAGTGCGCGTGGCTCTCCTCTGGACTCTCTCAAGCTTCTCCACATCCTTTTTGAATTGTGGAGCCCAAAACTGGACGCAGTACTCCAGCTGCGGCCTCACCAAGGCCGAGTACAATGGGAGAATGACGTCCTAGGATTTGCTTGGGAAGCATCTATGGATGCAAGCCAGCGTTTTGCTCGCTTTACTGGCTGCAGCATCACATTGCAGGCTCACGTTCATCTTGTGGTCAATCCTGACCCCCAAGTCCCTCTTGTCCGTAGTGCTAGCCAGCGTAGCACTGCCAAGCCTATAGACATGCTGCAGGTTTTTCCTCCCAAGGTGGAGAACCTTGCATTTTTCAGTGTTAAACACCATCAGGTTCTCATCTGCCCATTTACTGAGCCTGTCAAGGTCAGCCTGGATTACCCCCGTCCTCAGATGTGGATGCTTTACCCCAAAGTTTGGTATCATCGGCAAACTTGGACAGTCCGTTTCTGACTCCAATGTCCACATCGTTAATGAAGAGGTTGAACAAACTAGGTCCAAGGACAAAACCTTGAGGGACCCCAGTGGTCACAGGGCACAATGATGATCGACTTCCGTCAACCACCACCCTCTGGGTCCGACCATAGAGCCAATTCCCCAGCCAGTGGATCATGGTGGACCCAAGGCCACAGTTGGCCAGTTTTGCCAAAGGGTGATCATGGGATACCAGATCGAAGGCTTTTTTTAAAGTTGAGATATATGACATCAATCTCTTCCCCCTTGTCCAGGTGATAGGTCACCTGGTTGTAAAAGGAAATGAGATTGGTCAAGCATGACCTACCCGCAAGAAACCCGTGCTGGCTGTCCCTCAGGGTGTTGCCATCAGCCAGTCTGTTAAGAATGGCCTCCTTGATGGACTGGGCCTGCAGAGGCTCCCCATGCAACTACATCAGACAAGAAATGCGAAGCTCACAAAGAGCCACCTACATCCACCTGCCCCCAGGTGAAGGAACAGAAGAGGCAAGTGTCTGGTTCTGGGGGTTCTACAGGGCTAAGTTAGGTCGATGTCCATCTCACTAGTCAATACCAACTTTGCAAGAGCTTTACAGCATGGCTGGGAGGCCAGCCTGGCTGAGAACAGGAGAGCTGTACTGAGTCCGGTATCTCTCAAGTGTATTTTATATCCAAAGGACAATATTGCCATGAACTACAAGCCCCACCCCATGGCATGCATCTGACTTTAGCTATCAGGTATGAATGGGGTGTGAGGGGAGGCTAGAAAGGAAAGAAAGTCTGAAAGAAAATTGAGAGCAAAGAAAGGTGAGAGACCAAGCTACCAAATGTGGCATAGGTGGCTCCATGATCACTGATCAGACACGTGGGGTTGCTTTAACTCCCTTCCAAGTTTTCAAAAGCCTGGGCCATCGAGTGGGCTGGGGCTCCTCCACAGGACCTGCAGGGGCCAATGGGGTTTGCAAAAATGGCTGTGCAACTTACCTCTGTTACTTTTGCTAGGATAAATTCTCTGAAAATGTTTATATTCTTCTGGAGCAGGAAAGTCTTCAACTGGATGAAAGGAATATTTAGATTCAAAGTCATCTGCAAAGACAGGGAAAAAAAAGAGTGAACTCCAGGTTGTTGTGGGAAGATGAAACAAATAGATAGAGTGCAGTCCTCTGGAGGTCTCAGACAAGCTCCATCAGTTGTGGCCAAGACTGCAGAAGTGCTTTGCTCCCACCACAATAAATAAATAAATAAATAAATAAAAATCAATGGAGAATTACCCACCACCCTACCACGAGCACAACCAGATCAGCAGAGTCCTTCATAAGATCTGCCCCCTTGCATTTCTCTCTTCAGCTAGAGCAGGAACATGCCACGTAACATTTAACTGGAGTATGAAACGTGAAGGAACGAAGTCTAATGAGTTACGACAAACAAACCCAAAGGGATCTGTCCTTGTGCACTCAGTTGGGATGGCACACTTCATTCACACAGCTATATTCCCCTTTCAACCTGGCAGTATGGCCCAAGGAAACAGGTACCAGAGGAGAAAGGGCCCATGCACAGCATGGAACAGGAGAAAATGAGGTGCCAGCCAAACAGTCCCACACAGGAGCACTCCCACTGTGTCCACCTCTTGTGGTACTGCCCACAAAGCTCCTGGCCCACATATAATGGCTGCACTTCCAGAGCAGAGACTAGACTTAACCATGTGAATGCTCTGGTGCCTATAAATGTTGAAAGAGGACCATATTCCTTCCCCAGCCAGAGATGTGGGTTTTCCAGAAAAATTTCCAATGCCCTAAATACAGTGTGATCTGATTTAGCATGCTTACTAAATAGAAGTCAAATAAACAAAACTAGAAAAGTACCCCATGTTAATTTTGTCCCAATAGCCGCAAGTATTTGAACTGAAATATTTGATTAGGAAAAAAAATTAAATACAGCACACTTAATGTGGTCTAAACGTTATATTCAAACAAATTCAAAACTTTATGTGGAAAAAAATTAATTTTCATTGAAATACTTGTAAAAATGTAAAAACAATACACAATAGCATGTACTTTCCCCTTACATTGTTTGTGTAAATTTAAGGAAAAACAAAGGCACTAAAAACTGATGACACACTAATTTTAGCACACCCAAAGAACTGTGCATGATATGCTGTGGTTGTCCACTCATCTACTTCAACAGAGTTTAATTTGCTTCCACTGAGGTCACTGCGGCACCTCCAGTTTCACTGTCACTATCTGTAGAATCACTTGCACTACTTATTAGTTCCATTCCAGAATCAGATTGAGGAAATCTCATTCAGAACTAGTTGTATCACATTCTCTTTTGCTAAAGGATGGTTTTTAACCAATGAGTCTATGGGCAAGGGCAACTTATCACAATGCATCTTTTTCACTAATTGTGCTTCTGACTGATTCTCCAGAAGCAAGAGATTTTGAGAAATAGAAACAACCTTAGCAGTGCTTTCATTTGGTTTTGATTTGACCTGCACAGCCAGTTAGGTGAATTCACAACTTGATTTTTGGTTTGGATTATTATGCGTGTATTTACCCTCCTGTTTACAAGTCAATAAAACATATATATACTCTCGCACAGTTCCTAGGGATAATCACTTGAAAAACATTAATTGCAACTTTGAAACTGCCAAGCTTGCCTAATACTGTATTGGCATCCATTCATTATTACTAATGAATTTTATGAAACAATGAATTTTTAGAAATGGAAAATTTCCCACAGAAAAATAAAGCACTGGAAAATTTTCTGCCCCACATCTCTGTCCCCAGTCTCCCCTCCTATAGACTTGTGCTCCATTCTGCTAGGAGCCATCTACGTCATGAAGTCCAGGTTCCATTTGATGATTACTTTATCCTCAAGCAACTCCAGCGGAATCAGTCTGGGCCCAAAACATGGGTCACCATAACTTCCATCAGACCGTAGCACATGTGTGTCCTACCAGAGCATGCACAGGACGCATGCCAGCACCTGCACTCCTGTGTGAGGCGCAGCACATCCACTGCTCCACAGAAGTAGGATTTCCAGCAGCTTCACCACTCCATAGCATGTTAGAAAGACATAGATGCCCAGGGAATGGAAGGCTTCCCCTTTACACAGGAATTGTTAAGTGCAGGTGGTACATTTCAGTCAATGAGCAATTCACCCCACCCCTCCTTAGACTCTGAAAATGACATAATCAACATAACTGCATGGGCACTGTCATTTAGGAGGGTTATGTTTGTAAGCCACCCTGGTAGCAGCTACCCAGGACATGAGGAACATGCTGACAGGATAAGAATTCATTGTTAAGAGGGGGAAGAGGAAGAATGATATTGCCCCATGGGGGGACGGGGGTTTACCAAAAGAGAGTAGTGGATGGAGGTGGGTAGACAGTGCTCCTCTGATAGCCCTTCCATAACAGAAAGTCTGGAGATGCTGAAGTAGGGACGGATGCCCAGAGAGCATTATAAAATCTCTGGGCCCAGCATACTCAAGGCAGAAATGCCAGCTAAGAGATAAGATAATGCCAGGTATGCCGCTCTACAAGTGCTAGAGATGCCGGGAGAGCCTCAGATCCACACAAGAGGCTTCAGGAGCTGCTGCTCCAAGACGCTCGTGCTTTGTTTACACAGCACCTATAAGAATAGCAACTTCTTCACAGCCCGGCCAACCCTGCACTGTGGGAGCTTTGGTCTGTAAAAGGGATGCTCAGAATATGAAGCACGTACTGTGCAGAAGACTTGTACTTACCCAAGAAAGACCTCGCTGTGGAGACGGACTCTCTGTGCCCGTTTCTTATCGGTGGAGGGGGTGGGGGTGGCCCAGCTGGTGTCCTCGTAGGTGGGGGTGGGGGTTTTCCTCGGCTCTGAGGATCTGAGGACCCATGCATCCTGAACGGCGGTGGGGGAGGAGGTGCATCTCGACCACCATTCCGGATCATTGGGGGCGGGGGTGGCGGGGCTGCAAAAGAAACCAAGGGGATCAGTGCAGACCCACAACAGCCTCCTTTACCAGCCACGAGGATAGCAGGGGGAAGGAGTAGGGGGAAAGACTGGGAGTACTGTGGAGGAAACCTGCTCAAGTGTGCCAGAGAACACTAACACCCCTTGGGAGTCCTCAGGGGCTGTGCCATCACTGCTCAGTCAGGGAAGCTGCCCAGATCCACCCGCACAGTCCATGCACCGAGCCCCAGCACAACACCCTTTTCTGCTCCTAACTCAACGCATTAACAGACATCCCCGCTCCTTAGCTTCATGCATTCTCTCCCTCCCCCGTCAGCAACAAGGGCAAAGCTACTAGTCTCTGCACACCACATTAGACGTGTCCGCCTACTTTCCAGCAGACAGAGGATTCCCACTTCCAGGTGAACAGCAGCCATAAGCAGACAATACCGGTGGTGGCTGACCCTGTGTGGGCAGGCCTGCTCCCCTAACAGCACTCTAGTGCTCTGCTCTCTTTACTGTCTCCAGCAATGGTGCTTCCCCAACCACAACCTCCCTTGGCTTGTTTATGCATCTGCAGCAAGAAGGTTTCCCAGCCCTCTCGTGGAAGAAACAGCCTGGTAGACAGGGAATGGTGCAAAATGGCAGATGTAACTCCCCCCCCGCCCAATCCCTCTGGGCAGCTCAGAGCCACACTCCATGGTTTCTCCAAGTTGTGACTATTTCAGAGTCAGCATAACTAGGGCCCAAAACCCATACCCCTTGTGTAAGCTGAGCTTCCAGTGCAGCACACAGTAGGTATATGGCTGTGAGAGAATACATGGACCAGGTGCTCAGGAAGCAACTACAAGGAAAATCCTCCCTGGGGCTTGGAGCATGTCTAATGTTTTTAAATCACCCCTGCCCAGCTTCCATGACAAAATGAATTTGCAGCTCATGTTCCTAATTAGGCTAATTACATGCAGAATAATGCAACAGATACTGAGCTGTAACTCAATCGAGGGATTCTGGCAGGGCCGGAAGGATTCCCAGAACTGGCAGATGACCAAGTTGGAGCTGCAGTTTAATGCTGAACCCCAGGCCTGCATCTTTGGAAGGGAGGATAAATACCAGTATTATGCTTTCCCATACCCAAGGGCTGCACCAACATTAATGTTTGGCTGGCTATGGAGAAGTGGACGAGGGAAGCAGCTAGGACACCGAAGAGAGAACAGTAAGTGCTTTAAAATTAAATGTTCGCTCGAGTTCTGATTCCACAGGTTGAAAATTATCCTTGAGAAGTTACAACTGCAGTAACCATCTGGGAAGTCAGTCAAGAACCTCTGTGAGAATACATCCCAGTCTAAAGCAAGGGCCAGGATTGCAGGAGAAAACTGACACTGTCTGCAATCAGATACACAGGGCATCTTAGCTCTCTTGATGAACCTGACAGGCAGATGCCAACCCTTCCATCCCCCACCCCTGCCCCAGCTGTGGCAGGCTCTGAGGTTTCCACTTGGTTTATAGCCTTTATTCCACATCAAATGTAATCTGAATCATCTGCTGCTGTAGCTAATCAGACACCCAAGGCCACAGTCTGAACTGAACACATCCCACTTGGAGGCTAAAACAGGATCTCGAAGAACGTGCCCAACTCAACACTGCTTTCAGGAGGCATCCGATTGCCCCCCGCTACTGCTTTACACAACACTCAGTGGTTCTGATCTAATGCTACACACAAGCTCTGACACAGGGCACAGCAGAATGAGAACTAATTAGCTAGGATGCAAGCACCATGTAAATGTAGCTCTGCTTCCCATGTGGGAGCCAGCCTGCGTGGAGCAGCCTGGCACTGGGAATATTTAGGGGTAGGGGCTGAGACCACAAGCAAGATAAGCCATAGGGTTGGAAGTAGGAAGCAGTTAAAGATCAAGAGGCAGTGCTTTAAATCCTACTGCAAGCCAAGCCTCTTACTCTAGCATACTCCAGTCAGTCCTACCAGAGGGTTACCACATCCCCTTCTAAGGACGAGCACCCTAAGGTCAGCATTCAGGAGCTTCCTATCAGCCAGCTGCAAACAGCAACTCCCCGTCTGGATACCCAGTGCAAGTCTATTGATGAGAACGCGCTAGAAGGGCTCTTACCTGCTCCTCTGCTTGGAGGGTCTCGGGCCGGTGGAGGGGGTCTATTGCTCTGTAGAGATGGGGAAGCTGAAGTGGGCGGAGGTGGTGCCAGGCCCCTAACAGGACCTGCAGTCTTCCTATGCAAAGAGTTGTGTCTCTGTGGTAGCTCAGGGGCTGACTCATTAGTAGGACTAGAGGGACCATTGGGGACGCCTGGAGGCTGCCGATAGGGGGGTGGTGGAGGAGCCAGAGACTGGTTCTGAGAATTTGGCCCCGTTCGGACGTTGACTGGGGAAGGGGGAGGCTTGATGGGAGGAGGGGCTGGGGGTCCATCTCGGCTCGTGGGGAGCCGCTGTCCTGGTGTTGGTGGCAATGGCTTCTCCCGGTTGTAAGAAGGCGCCTTGCTGCTGTGCATGGAAGGTGGGGCGGGAGGTGCATTAGCTCGGCGTCCTGGTGGCGGGGGTGGAGGGGCAGAGGAGCTGTGTTTCATGCCAGTGCTGCCAGCACTGTTGGGCCGGGAGAGGTCCGGCAAGGAAGGTCTCTGCATCCGTGGAATCTCTGGAGGGGAAGCCCGGCTGCTGTCAGAATCATCGTGAGGTCGGCTGTTGCTGGCAGGCACTGGAGGCCGCGGTGCAGCTGATCTGGAGCCAGGAACTTGCAGGGACGGCTTGCCAGAGGAGCCATCTGCAACAGATAGATACCTGGGTTACATGCAAGCAGGTGAAAGTGCTAAATCCTGGCTGCGGGCTGTGTTCGGGGAAGAGAGGGATGGAATCTAAAGACTCATCTTAGTCCTGAGAGGGTCACTGATGCCACCGCAGGAATCCACCACAAAGCCTAGTATGGCTCACCTGCTCTACTCACTGGAGGATGAGGACAGCATAACAGAATGCACACAGTGGGGGCAGAGACAGGGCACAGCTCCTGTCCACGTGCCACCTACCTCTAAACCAGGACTTCACAACTCAAGTTCCCCAAAGGTCAAGTTTACCCACAGATGTATGTTGAGAAGTCCCATTCGTCAATTTGCAGGTCCATTTTCAAGGCACTAGACAGACAGTGACAGATCAAGTCTGCCAATATCCTCAGGAAGCAAGTTATTTCTACTCTAGCTGGGGAAACAAGCCCAGACAGAGGTGGCTTACTTGAGGTTACAGACAGGAGAGGCATAAAAAATGGGCACCGCTTTCCTCCTTGTTCCAACACAGAATCATAAAAATGAGGGTTGGAAGGGACCTCAGGTGGTCATCTTGTCCATCCCTCTGCTCAAACAGAACCATCCCCAACTAGATCATCCCAGCCAAGGCTTTGTCTAGCCTGGTCTTCAAAACTACCAAGGATGGAGATTCTACAACCTCTCTGGGTAGCCTGTTCCAATGCTTTACTACACGCCTAGTAAGAAAGTTGTTCCTAGTATCTAACCCAAACTTCCCTCACTGCAACTTGAGACCATTGCTCCTCATTCTGTCATGTTGGTGAATCCACAGGAGGGAAAAAGGGGAGACAATACCCCAGCTCTGAGATTACAGCAGCCCCTTTCCAAGAGCCATTTAGCAGCAAGGGCAGGGCAGCACATCTTTAAGCAGTTGCTCCAGAAACAACAAAGTACCAGGCTGATAAGCTGAGGCTTCCAAGCCAGCACTGAAACAAGCAGTAACAACGGTATGCTGCCCCAGACCCCAAGCCCTGCAGAACATGAGCAACAGAGTCAGACACTTCCCAAAGTAGGACCCTTGCCAGACAGTAATTTCCTGGATACCTGAACTGTCCTTGGCTCCTACAGGCCTGAGCTTGGGGACTCCACCTTGAAAGAGGCCTCCCTTTGGCTGGAGCACTGCCGAACTGGAGCCATAGCTGCCACCACCGCCTTTGGGTTCTGAAATGAGAGGATTGTATCTCTGCTTCTGCTGCAAGTCCCCTGCTAATTCAATCCCCTCCCTAGGGCAGGTTTTTTTTCTGGTGGCCTGTTTCCCCATCACAGCCTGAACTGAAAGTGCCTGTGTGGCAGATGTAACACATGCCTGACTGAGAGATCAGGTAACATCAGGTGTAAAGGAGTTAGAGCTGTGCTGCTCATAGCGACACCCACTGCTGGGCAGAAAGAGAAAGCCTTTTTGCATGCTGTCTCATGTCTTCAGCACCGACTTGAACAGCTCCAAGGTGCATCTGGACTCAGGGAATGAAACTTGGTGCCACCACAAAGCCCCCCACAGATCTACAAAGAAGTATGTATTTTACTGAACAAGCCCATAAGGCCAACGCTGAATAACTCTATCATCAGTCTCTATAAAGGGAAGCTGGTAGGAAACCACTTTAGAGTTTGTGGAAGCATACCGGGGGGCTGTAGTCTCAAAAGGAACAGCTTTGCCAGGCACAAGCAGCACCACAGGGACTGAAATTCCCAATGGATGCAGGAGGACTTTGAGGTCATCATCTTCCATGTGAGAACTGGGACCCAAGACAGTGGAAACACCTGGGGTCAGGTACTTACTTTCAAGGACAGGGGCGCTGCGGTCACTGATCTGCGTCACCTTCTTTAGCTTGGCCCCCTTGCAAATATCCTGCAGCAGGGCTCCCCTCCCTCGCTGCTCCTCTCTGCTTAGCTTTGGGGGCTCTGTGTTTGCCTTGAAATGAAAGTGCCAGGAGAGAAACAGGTCAATGCCAATACTCTCTCTGCCCTCCGGATGCATCAAATGGGTTTATGAGAAGTTCCAGTGTAACTCCTACCTCCTCTGCCAGCTAAGTATCCCCAGTACCTGCCATGACCCTCTGGCTGTGCCAACCACACTGTTTCCACACACCCCCAAACTCCCCTTTCCAGCTGGGAAATAGAGTCAGTCCAGTTCTTCTATTCTCATCAAGTAACCCCCAATGTTGCAGCCCCAAAGGGAGGCACAAGGGAGAATCCCAAAATTCCTAATACATCGCTGACACTGACAACCAAAACTAGGCCACAGTCCTCCCTTGCCTTACAGCACCACATCTCAGCTAGATGAACAAAGGCTTTGTGAGAGTGGGGCCCCTCTGGAGCCACTGAGGAGGGACGAAGGGGATGGGGGGAGGGTCAGAGTCAGACCACAGTAACACAAAGATCACAGGGATCAAATCTAGCTCAGCATCGCAGTCCTCTCTAGGAGCCTTCTATTCCCTGGTACTCAAGTGGGGGTTGGCTTTGGGGGAGGCACTGTCTCTTACAAGAGACAGCAGTGCTGATGAGCTGGAGTTTAGTCCCCCACTAATTGCTCCCAAATGCCTCTCCTCCTCCCCCAGTCCTGAGATGCTTTTAGAACTCAGTGGCAAGAAAGATTTGGCCTCAAGCCAGCAGCTCTGCCAGTGGGACACTTGTAGCACTTAGTCATGCCGTTTACAGCTAACAGGGAGCTCTGCTGACCACGATGGAACATCCAGGGGTATAAGTGAAACAGGGCCAGATCAGGATTGTGCACCCAGGGAGCGACCTAATTAACAGGCTCTTTCATAGTGTATGATACCTTCTGAGCAGCATGTAGGCACTCACTAATCCTCACAGGATTCATCCCCATCACACAGGCAGGGAAACAGCAGCACTGAAGAACAAGATGACTTAGCCATGGTTATAGCAAGGTCCTGCATTCTGAGGAAGGCAGTGAAATAATCTACAGCATCTAAGTCAGGGGTTCACAGATTTCATAGACATTAGGGCTGGAAGGGACCTCGGGAGATCATCAAGTCCAGCCCCCTGCCCCAAAGGCAGGACAGTCAGCTAGGGTCAGAGGATCCCAGCAAGATAAGCATCCAAATGCTTCTTAAAGGAGTCCAGAGTAGGTGCTTGCACCACCTCTGGAGGGAGCCTATACCAGGCCTTGGGGGCTCAAATAGTAAAGAAGTTTTTCCTTATGTCCAGCCTAAAACAGTCTTGGAGGAGTTTGTGACCCTTGGACCTTGTCATCCCTTGGGGAACTCTGGTGAACAGATGTTCCCCCAGACCCTGATGTACACCCCGATGTACTTATAGGCTGCCGCCAGGTCACCCCTGAGCCCGCGCTTTTCCAGGCCGAAGAATCCCATGGCTCTCAGCCTCTTTTCATAGTGCCTATTCTCCTGTCCTCTGATTATGTGTGTGGCTCTCCTCTAGACTCTCTCAAGCTTCTCAGGTGGGGGTGGAGGGGGCGGCGGTATGGGCATCCTTTCCCTGCTGCCTGCTGGCTCGGGCCTCTTAGGGTATGAGAAAACACTGCACACTCATATACCTGTAGGGTGGGAGAGAGCTGGTTAGCAGAACGTGAAAGACTGGCCACTGCAGCTACATGACAGTGGGAGTACAACAGCAGGCGAGGGAGCTGGCCCAAGTGGGCAGCATTCTCCAGAACACCCCAGCTCGGGGACCAGGCATTGCTGGCATTCCACAGAGGACGCGGAGACAGCGCCAGAGCCCACACAGCACTTCCAGCCGGACACTGCACAGGCAGCCATCTACAGTGGTCGGCACCACTCTGAAAGGAGAGGGAACACCTTGCGCCTGGCCCACACTGCCCAGTTTTGCCAGCCAAACTCGGATGCTGCAGGCAGAACCTCAAGTGCTCCTGTAAGTCCCTCATAGTGACAGGAACTCCTGCCCCCTGCCAACAGACCAATGCTTGCTTCACATGTCATAGGAGGCTTCTGCCGCTGGACCACGTGCACAGAGATGCCTGTGCTTCCCCCTTTACCAGCGGGTGCTTCCCAGGGTGCACTGCTGCCCGAACAGCACAGCTCTTGTAACAAAGCCACCCAAAGGTGTATAACAGACAAGGCCTTGGTGACTGACTTGGATCTCAGAACAACAGCTGTCAGGTTGGAGTGCCTCCTCCTAGCTAGTACAAAGTGTTGATCTTGGAAACAAAGTTCCCTAAGCGGTGACTGGTGCCAGCCCATCTAGCCAGCAGCTCCTCCTGCTCATAGGAATTGGTGGGACCTGCTAACCAGGAGTCTTCCAGCCTGATATTTGGGCCAGTGCTGAAGTCCTGAATGTGGACAGACTGACACAAAAAATAAAGCATACGACTAGCAAAGGCTGGAATGTGTCCAAAATTCACTTAGTTTTTAACTTAGTCATCCCATTCTAGAGAGAAAAACAAACCAGTTACCTCAATCCTACAGTCCATCAATCTGGATTCCTTGTTGGCACCAGGAGCATGGCTGCTGGCACAGGGATTGAAGTCATAACCCCTTTGGTGTTAAGAAGAAAAAAAAAAAAGCCAACACTATACATCTTTGAGGTGCATTCCTGACCATAAGTGTAGCTAAATTTTATGTTGCACAAAGGACACAAAGCCAAGATGGAAGGGACCTATAGCTTGTACCCATGACTCATTACTGCAGTCTCCCGTCCTTGACAAATAAGCACCAACATCCAGATTTTTCCAAAGCAGTTCCAATCCCATTGAAGCAGCCAACATAAATGACCCCATAAATACCTGAGAATAAGGCCCTACCTCTAAGTTACTGTCAAGCCCAGACACACAGTTATTTCACAGCCTGAACTCCTCATATACACAAGTTTTTCCCCCAATAGTGAATCTAATCAGCTTTAATCCATCCAACTAATGCATGAAATACAGGTGTCCTAAACAAGAGCTTACCCAGCACGCTGTAACAGGCACAAGGACATTCTGTAGCTGCTTGGACTTTGTATAACCTGGTATTTAAGTAAGCCTGAACAAACCAGTTTCTATCACAAATTAAACATTTAGATGGAGGAAGCAGACACAGGAACAAGCCTCTGAATCACCAGCAGATCACAAGACAGATACCTGTCTGAGCCATGAATGCAACAATGTAGAAATACAAAAACTAGAACTCTCTCAAAACAGCAATGCCTCACGGGACTGGAATGTGATCGATGGGAGGACTGGCATGCAAAGCAAGAGATGTGTGCTCCAGGCAAAGTTAGGTAGAGGAGGAAAACCACACACAGCAGGATAAGAAGAAAAGACACTAGGTCTCCTTAGACAAAGCTGCTTAAACAATATTAGAAAGAAAAGTCTTACACCAGAGACATCGAATAGCAGCAAGATTGTGTTACATTTAAAAGGTGCTGCCTTCAGGTCCCTGACCCTACCAGACCAAGGGGGTGTCATGAAGTGTAATGAGACAGCAAAATCCTGCTAATCATAAACCAGAGATTAATTCTAGTGGCTACAAACCTCTCAAAGGCTGAAGAGTAGACACTGCAAAGACAGCTTCTAATAAATCTTTGTTATTTCCAAGATAAACTTGAGTACACATTAGCAGTGCAGCAAGTATGTGACACTGGTCAAAACAAAACCTAATCAAATGGATCAGAGGTTTTTCTTTAAAACCACATCCATTTTCTTCCACAATAACTGGTAACATTCAGTCAGAGCAAATGAGCGAGGTCAGACTGAACACTGACTTACTATCTCTAACGTAAAATGAGCAGATTCAGAGAGTCAAAAGTCTCTCCCTGCCCCAGAGTCTATCAGGGAATTTTTGTGGCTTCAAGATCACTTAAAGTAGGTGCCTTATGCTGTTGCGTGAAAGACTCACTTGGACAAGGAGTGAAACTGCCCTTGCACAAATTATAGCCCAAGACAGACAAAGAAGATACTAGGAGAAACAACTCATCTCCAAGTCTCTTTCAAATCACAGTCACTTGTAGTGGTCTGCAAAACTATATAACAAATGTACATACAAAACTACCTCAACAGACACAGTCCTCTTGGCTATCAAGGGTCTTTATTTACACGCAACACAAAGCTGTGTCTACAGCCCAGTTACATTAGCCCTCTTCCAGACTACAACTGTCCTTTGGAGGCAGCTGGCATAGTCTGCTCTCAATTAAGACCTCAAGGCACAGACTATCAGATTCCAACAGATCCACAAATTCTGCTAAATACCTTATCACAAGGACACAAGAAAGGCAGGAAGACCCCGGACTCACTCAAAAATTATTCCTTTACAAATACTAATTTGCACAAACAGCCAAGAACTGGAGTAAGAGATTACACACAGAGAGATGGGAACTTTCCTCCCAGGGCAGATCAGAAAAAGAAACTCCACAAGGTAACAGTACATACTTATCTGGGACTCAGCCATGCCGTGGTAGAGGTGTTTGAACAGAACTGTTCTTTCCTCTGGCCTCATTCTTTATGCTTCTATTGCATCCTGTGGCAAAATCCTGCTCTCGTAGATGTGACTGTGCAGCATATTGCCACAGCAGTGATTGTGATGTCACAAGTAAAGCATTATGATTTCATAGCAGGATTGCAGTTTGCCTTCCCCTCCCATCGGAGGGAGCCAAGTCCATGTTGGTATTTCAACAGCTTTAGCAAATCACAGGGTACAGCTGAGAAGCATGTGCCAGGTAAGGAGATTTACAATTCAGCTACATGTACTAGGAAGTCTTTGCTTGGCACCAGATTTCCTCTTGAAAAGCATCACATTAGTAAAACTGCACCCCAGAACATTGACTGTTACAGAGCCATCATGACAGATCTAATCTGAGGGCACAACAAGGTTCAGTATCTCGCTGGAAACATTGCAATGCCAGAAAAAAAAAAAAATCTCCCCAGGTACATGATAATGTTTCTTTTTGGTTCTCCTTACTTTCACTTGCATTTTGAGAGGTGCCAACTGTAAAGGCCCTGTCAGTCCCAAAGACCCCAGCTGCGATGGAAGCAACATTGTGCGCACCCAAGAACATGCTATTGATCAGTGGAAAAGACAGAGGGAAACCCTGCAAGAGAATTTAGCCACAGTGACTATGGGAAGAAAGAGGAAGTCACATAACTCAGATGTGTGTTTTAAAAGGAAGGCCAAGTAGCTTTTTCTTCCTTGTACATGTCTCATGCAAGTCTGGTATGCTGAAATCAGCATTCAAATCAAGGTTTTAGCTAAAAGAATAAAACCAGGAAGAGTCCAAGCTAACATAGCTCAGGGATGAAGGAAAGACTGATTTCTAATATACCCATAGCTTCATTTTACAGTGTGGTCCAGTTCACATTATGGATCAACAAACTTGGCAAAAGGTAATTTTAAAACAAAGTCACTGACCTTGACTAGTCAATAAGATAAGAACAACTATAGCAACATGATGACATCAGCCTGAGATAAATTAGCCAAAAAGATGCTGAAATAATCTATCAGAGACCACAAAATAAAGCACAGATCTTTGGTTTTGTGAAGACAGTTGTAGCTGATAGAGATTAAGGATGTGCAGACTTTTAAACCCCTGAATATACAAGAATTTCTTCTGGTAAGGCTTACAGACCCTTCAATACTCAGCTTGTCCTTATGGAAACTGTGCCCTTTCAAAACACTGCTGTTTAGACAGCTGATTTCTCTCTGCATTTCTTCTCTTTTTTTTCTTTATTACCAAGGATTTTTTAATATACAAAACAAGATATTCACGTTCAAGTGTTTTGCATGCTCTTGCAGCTTAGCCTCTGTTTTGTTGGTTTTTTAATTTTTGGGGGGGGGGGGGGGGGGGG